AATACTTATATCCATACACACACACTGCCTAATACATCCATCTGCACACACATATTGCACAATACATATATTGCCTAATACATACGCCCATACATGCACACTGCCTAAAACATACATCCATACACACATACTGCCAAATACCAGACATCCCATGTCTCCCGGTAGTTCAGGGAGACTCTCGCATGTTGAATGCGGTTCCCTGACACACACGCAGATCATACATAATATCCCGGAAATCACACACACAATCTATAAAGTATGACTTCTGTGCATGTCAATATGTGTGTGTATCTGTGTGTGTTTCAGTGTGTGTATCTGAATGTATGTGCCAGTGTGCGTTTCAATGTGTGTATCTGTGTGTCAGTGTGTATGTGCCAGAGTGTGTGTATGTGCCAGTACGCATATCTGTGTGTCTGTGTGTGTTGGTGGAGGGGGGGGAGTGAGCGCAAGCATGTCAGGGGGAGGTGGAGTGACCGCACATGTGCACGGGGGTGGCGTAGTAAATTGTGAAGCCACCTCCCTGAAATGCATTTTTGCATGTTGGGATACATTTTACATTAAATATATAATTTATAGCTGTGATAATAATATTTTCATTCATTTGGTGGGATTTTATTTATAATATTGTGGGATTTAATTTATAGTAATGGGTTTACGTTAATTAATGTTACAGTGAACCTGTCTAACATTTTCACTGTAAGAAACATTTTTTTCATTATAATCTATCAAATGTATTATGAATATAATTGGTCGCATAGTCACTCGCACACGTCACTTACACACTCTAACATACACTACTTACTGAAGTATACACACGTCACACACTCTCACTAACACATGTATTAAGTATATACACAATGTCACTGACACACTCACTAACACACACTATTATTAAGTATACACACAATGTCACACACTAACACATTATTATTACGTATACACACGTCACTGACACACACTATTAAGTATACACACAATGTCACACACTCCCACTAACACTCACTATTATTAAGTATACACACAATGTGCCACAATCTCACTAACACACACTGTTAAGTATACACATAATTTCACTGACACGATTAAGTATACACACAATGTCTCACACTCTCACTAACACACACTATTCAGTATACACACACACAATGTCTCACACTCTCACTAACACACACTATTCAGTATACACATACTCTCACTAACACACACACAATCAATGTCTCACACTCTCACTAACACACACTATTCAGTATACACACACACACAATGTCTCACACTCTCACTAACACACACTATTCAGTATACACAATGTCTCACACTCTCACTAACACACACTATTCAGTAAACACACACAATGTCTCACACTCTCACTAACACACTATTCAGTCACACAATCACACTCTCACTAACACACACTATTCTCACACTCTCACTAACACACACTATTTAGTATACACACAATATCTTACACTATTCTATACACTAACACACACACACACTATTCAGTATACACACACAATGTCTCACACTCTCACTAACACACACTATTCAGTATACATACACACAATGTCTCACACTCTCACTAACACACACTATTCAGTATACACATACTCTCACTAACACACACTATTCAGTATACACATACTCTCACTAACACACACTATTCAGTATACACACACTCAATGTCTCACACTCTCACTAACACACACTATTCAGTATACACATACTCTCACTAACACACACTATTCAGTATACACATACTCTCACTAACACACACTATTCAGTATACACACACTCAATGTCTCACACTCACTAACACACACTATTCAGTATACACACACTCAATGTCTCACACTCTCACTAACACACACTATTCAGTATACACACACACACACAATATCTTACACTCTCACTAACACACACTCTTACTGAACTATACACACACAATGTCACTCACACCAGTTTAGTCACACTTTATACACAATATGATCAGCCCCCTTGGGCTCCATGTGGGCCATACCTGTGCTAGGGCTGTGGAGGAGGATCCATTCAGTACTTACTGCTGGCTGGGCTCCCTCCATGTTACTGAGAGCCCAGCCCCTGAGCAGATGGATCCCCCTGCCTGTAAACAAGCACAGACACTGGAGGGAGGAGGAAGCAGGAAGCAGGAAGCAGGCTGTGCTCACTGTGCACCGCTCTCCTGCTCCCCAGCAGAAACAAAGGGGAGACTTCCTGCAGGCTGGACAATGGTTCCTCCTCCCCTTCAGTGAGCACAGCCTGCTTCCCTCCTCCCTCCAGTGTCTCTCCATGTTTACAGGCTGGGGAATTCCCCTGCCTGCAGGATCCATCTGCTCAGGGGCTGGGCTCTCAGTAGCATGGAGGGAGCCCAGCGAGCAGTAAGTTCATTTCCAGTTGGGGGGGCACAAAGGGGGGCACAGCCTGATCTAGGGGGGGCCATGGCCCCCTCTGGCCCCCCCCTAGTGACGCCACTGCATGTAACTATGGGGTTTATGGGGTTTTATGTGTTTTTAAGGTACTTGTTGGGGTTTCATTAAATTGTATGTTTTTCTGTGCTTGGAGAAAATTGGGTTAGATTAGTACAGTTCCTGATTCATTTATCTCCCAAGCACAGAGGAGGGATTCTATTGTTTGTGTATGGGAGTGTCTCATTGTATGACTGTTTTTATTGGTATATTCACTTTGTGTCCCTTTGCCCAACAAAGTCTACCTGGGTGTCATCCTTGTTGGGAAACTTGCATAAAAGGCCAGTGTGCCTCCATTAAAATTGAGTTCCTGTTTTACCCTAAACATAGAGTCTCATCTCATGTGTGGGGGAAAAGGCTATATCTACCCTGGGGATTACTATATCACTATACTTCCCTAGGATTATAATCACTAGCTCTTTTAAGAAATGTGCCTGCTACGCTTTCTGGAGTAGGAGAGGTTCACCCACTGCTGGAAGCTGGATCCTGGTCTTGGGTCCAGGGTGGGTGGAGGATGGCGAGTTCCCAGCCAAGCCGTAACGCTGGATGTGGGGACTGCAGTGCTGATGTTGTCTGGTGGAGTGCTTGGAGTCCTCGTGAGCACTAGGAGCATCCGTCGGCAGAGGTACCCAACCGGGGTACAGGTAGCTCCGTTACACTATGTCCAGGGCCCACAATTACCCCAGATTGAAGAATGCACTATAGGGACTATAGACTGGTCAGACCACGTGCCTGTGGTACTGACGATCTCTGACTGCTTTTCTTTTAAAGGTAAACCACTGTGGCGCCTCAATGAATCTCTACTTCAAAACCCTAACTATGTAAATACCTTGAAAGAGCACCTGATGCTATATTTCTCTACCAATGATGTACCTGGAGTTTTCAAGGAGTTTATATGGCAGGCACATAAGGCAGTGGCAAAGGGATTATTCATTAAACAAGCCTCCTACCTTAAGAAATTGGCCCCAAGCCTCATGACGTACTGGACCGCACAGCCGAGGGCGTTGCATAATGCCAATCAGCTGAATCCTACTATTCAACATAGAGCAGACATCCAAAAATTACAATGGAAAATTTCGGAGGCCAATTTAAAACGTACAAGCTTTTACCTCAAAAAATTTAAAATGTCCCATTACTCTCAGGTGAACATGGTGGGGAAAATTCTGGCAGTCAAACTTAAAGACCAACAAGCGCGCACCAGAATACAATACATCATCTCCAGCAGGAAAGAGAGATTGATCACCCTATCAGCAATTAGCAATGAGTTTGCAGTATTTTATGGCGAACTCTATAATTTAACCAAGGATAGCGCCTTATATCATGCCCGATGGCCTGTCAAACATATACTATAAAAAATTTTTAAGGAGGAGCTGGCCCCAGAGCTGCTCCTGCTGTTTACTTAGGCAATTCTGACCTCTTAGCTACCTCGGGAAATGTTAGCGGCCACAGTGGTGGCCCTCCCCAAACCGGGAAAATCCACTACGTGCTGTAAGAACTTTAGGCCTATATCTTTACTCAACTAGGATGCAAAATTGTTTGCAAAAATTTTAGCCAATCGGATGAAAAAAGTGCTCCCTACACTCATTCATCCCGACCAAACAGGCTTTGTGAAGGGTAGGCAGGGAATGGTCAACACCAGAAGAGTTCTGGACATTGTGGACTCGATGATGCAGAGAAAGCATTTGGCCACCTAAGCTGAAACTTCTTGGAGGTGACCCTCAAGAGGTTTAACTTCCCGGATGCTTTCCTGGATTTGGGTAGAGCACTGTACAATATGCCCACAACAAAAGTGACATATGGGGGCTTCCAATCGGAACTCTTTGTCATTACGAATGGCACCCGTCAAGGGTGTCCATTATCACCCCTCCTTTACGCATGAGCATGTTTGCGGACGATGTCCATTTGATGATCAAAGACCTTGTTACATCCCTACCAGTTTTAACTGCCACTTTACAGGAGTGTAGTAGGTTTTACTATTACAGGCTTAACGAAAGATGCAGGCGATGCCTGTGAGGTTGAGCACGGGAACAGTCCAAGAGTTAAAATGGAAGTTCCAGTATGATTGGAGGGAGGATTTTATTGTATACCTGGGAATTAGGATTACAAAAATCTTACAAGATGGGGGCGGGGCCCAACAGCCATGGTGGCAAGGTGTGTTTCAGTAGAGCTCCTCTCCTATACTGGATTTAAACGCATTTATTTTCCCTATTAAGCAAGATTTCGACTGAAATCGGCTACTTACCTACGTCTAGACCTAGCTAGGTTCAAAGAATCGACAGGGGCTTGTCTGCGGCACATCTTGACTCATGCGGCCTAGATTGCACCGGGCGGGGGAGGCAGATGATCCTCCGAGCCAGAGGTGCCCATCAGCACTCAGCACTGGGTGGGAACCCCGTTACAACCCCCCCTCTTGGACCGGCGGGGGTGATTCCGGTCCTTCCCTAGGAGGCTGCCTTAACCTAGTGGGAACTCGGGGTGAAACCACGAAGGTGAACAAAAAAGCGAGCGACTCAGCCTGGAATGGCAGATGTTGCATGGTCCCCCGACAACACAGAGTCCAGGCTGGACCGCACTTTTGATGATTTCTGGTGCAAGTTGGAAAGCAAGCTGCAGCAACCGGTCGCAAAGCAGCCGTGTGATCACTCACCTCACAGGCAAAGCCTTACTCCGCAACAGAAGCTGGCTACACCGGCAGTGAGACGAGCCCCAACATGTCGGCAGAGCGGGAAGTGCTCCTCACTCCTGCAAACAGCGGCACCAAAACAAGAACTGTTGAGATCTGGCACTGGGACTCTCAACCTATCAGGGGACCTTGTGGAAGACCTACTCATGAGGACTGTCTCCCTGACAATGCCTTCCAGGTCACAGCTGGGCACGGCTATATGCATCACTTTGCTGCTCCTGCAGCCTCTGCCTGGGCCCACAGGTTTGATGACTGCGGCGCCGGCAGGTGGCTATGACAAGCCCCAGAGAGGCATCGGTTGAGCATACATGGGACTCCTGCCGGCTGGCACTGCTTCCCCTCTGATGCATAGTTTTACTTCCCTATGAGCAGATGTATGACTTTGCTTGTCCTGATGTTTATGTAGTTGTCTTTTCTCCTTTAGTTTTTTTTGTCTATCAGCATCACTTCTCACCTGGGGGGCTTCTTAGGTGTTCATTTAAGCACCATATCTCTGTCTAGGACACATCTCTCATCTACAAAAGGCAATCTCTATATATTACTCAGATGTATATGATCAGCTAGTCTGTTTACTACACATTATCAGTGATTATATTATGAGTTAACATATGTTGAATTGACATATGATGAATTGTATGGATATTACTTTTGATACCCTCTGCAGTGTCTTTGTTACCTTGTGAAATTTCCAACGCACTACGAAAATAAAAAATTATAAAAAATAAAAAAAATCTTACAAGATTTACAAAAGGCCAATTACGATAGACTAGGCAAAGAGATTTGATTTACTATAACTGGATGGAAAGGCAAATTCCTGACGTGGTTGGGTTGCATAGCAGCGACCTACCAATAGCACTCCAGCCCTTCTTCTTATTGAAGGTACAGAGGGACTTGGATAGGTTCATTTTATGTAAAGGCAAAATGTGCATCCCTAAAGCCACCGCAGTGAGGAAGGTAGCGCAGGGTGGGCTAGGTAGCCCGGACCTCCAGAAATACTACCATGCTACCCTGATAGCTCAAGCGATTAGCGCACATGACGCCCATAACCCGCCCCAATGGGCAGCCATTGAGTCACACTGGTCAGTCCCGGAAGGTGTAAACAAACTGTTAAGGTTGCCAAAAGCCGCTAGACCAAGAACGCCTAAAATGCTATGTATCAAAACAGCTATGATCAAATCATGGGATAAATTTTGGGGCACATTTTACATATGGTCCCCAGTCTCGCTAGCTACCCCTGTTGGATGTTTTAAGTATCTAACCCCCACATTTGACAGTAGAGGATGGGAGGGCAGGGGAATAACCAGCCTTCACCAGTTGTGGCTGGAAGACCCGGCTTCACTCCCGCAATTGCAGGAGAAGCATGAACTACTGCCCTCTACATTTTGGTTGTATTTACAGATGAGATCAGTATTACAGGGTCTGCAACATGCTAGAGCCCCAGGAGTGGTGGGAGTGTGCGGTGATCAAACCTTACTGGGACATGGTGGCTGAGGTAATCTCTGGGGTGTTGGACACGTGATACGTCAGGTGTCTTGAAATGGCAGGTACGAAAAGATGGCTTATATGAGCTCAAACAGACACCAAAAATCTATAGAAGCATGGGGTCAATGGGAAGCGAAGTTTGAACAACTTTAGTGAATGCAAGTGATAAACACAGGTATAGGTTGTGGGGTCAAAGACTTCTTTTTACAATGATATATTAATAAAGAAAAAAAAAGGGGAAAAAAACAAAACATATAGAAATCTCTAAGTATCTATGATTCTCCACTCCCGTCAAACCAAAGGAGTTGAGCCAAGCTGTCCCAGGACAAGGGGCTCAGTATCCTGGAACCACGCCCCAAGTTCTACACAAATCCCTAGTCTTTTGTTGCCCAGAGGGAGCAAGCTACACCTGCCAAACTTCAGTTGATAGGGTGATTGAACAGGTGGGCCAGCTAAGATGTTGTTGGGTTTACTCACCCTCTCTTCTCCTCTTCCCCTTCTCTTTATTCCTCCTTTGCTATTTTTTTCCACTCTTTTCTTTCTCTATCATCTCTCATCATCTCATCTTCGGAGGAAATATCATAAAATGGATGTGTGGGCATTTCTTAAGACTAACAGGAGAAATGGAATATGGTACAAGAAGTCGGCTAGTGAGAGGAATACAGTGTAACCTTCAGTATTATTCGTTGTGAATGTTCAATCCTAACAATGTGAGATGTTGGTTACACAGGTGTGTCATGGCGGTGTAATGATCTAGTATGTAAACCCTATAGCGGAAACACGAAGCAGGGAATGTCCGCAGAGTGTCAAGGCAACACCGCTGTCTTTGATATGCTTGTTCCAAATGCACATCTAATAAAAGAAATAATGAATCCAAAAAAAAATAAAAAATGGACCTACCTGCTGCCTATGAGTAGTAGTAGGGGGACAGTTTTGTGTAGAGCCCCCACATGCCCCTTATTGTTTTTTCTCTTTTTTACAGAGCAAACATCCTTGGCCAAGGATGGCAGCAGATGGTTGGCAGGTCACTGTTATATAGTAATAAGCCCTGAGCCCATTCACAGTCGAGCCTCAGACGATGGGTCCATTGGCTGCTCACTTTTTAGTAGTCATGCCGCGGGCGTGGGGGTGAGGGCACAAGGGAAATATTATACTCCCTTATACTAAAATGAAATTTGTGTTGACCCACCTAAGGATTTTTATTTTCATAATTTTTTTTTTTTGTGGCAGCTAGCTAGCAAGCGCTCGCCAGACGGTACACAAGTAACCCTTGCACCTCAGAGTTTTTTTTTTTTTTTTACTATTTGACCTACAGTCTGCTAGTACCGCCAGCAAACTAATTGTTGGTGTTTTTAAAGTCCGAATCACAAAACAATTGATCGATTGGTGGTTTTGTTTGTTTTCTTCATTATGCGTCCTTTGTCTGTTTTCAGACCTTCGAATAAATCTCCAATCGCCCAACCAAATGCACAACTCTATTAACGAGTAAATTTCTACCTAAAGATTGTGCAGTACACTCCACTCACCACCAGGTGGTGAATTTGTACTGCACATTTTTCAGCCTTTTCAGATCAGCGCTGGGTACATGTACTGTTTTATGCTTTAATATTACTTAATTCTGGGGAGGGTTAGAAGGGGCTTTCAGGGGGACACTTTGACCTCTCTTGCAAGGCACGTTCTCTCCCCCTGACACCCTGCCAACATGTACAAAACATGTCAGGCAGAAAGAGATGCCCTTTGGCTGTGAGTCCCAGAATGCTTTGCAGTGTGAGCCGGTTCCAGCAGGCAAAGATACAAAGTGACAGTTTATATTTCCTGAGGACATGAAGAAAGACTCAGGTCTTTTAAGTGTTTTCATTTGTCTTAAAGGGACACTGTAGGCACTGTAACTGCTTTCATTTTCATTCATTGTGGTTATAGTTTCTGGAGTCTCCTGGTGCTGTCCTTCCATTCAACGTTAATAATTCTTTAGTGTTTTAATGCTTAAGTGCGTCCTCAGCAGCCCACATCCCCTCTGAGTTGCTTGGGCTAATGAGGAAGCTTTAGCCTACGCAGCAATGGGCAGCTGGGATTGGCTGAGAGTGTAAGCTGACCTCTTTCACTCAATGCTTTTGCAGCGCCCACTGATGGTATGGATTGGTATGACTAGAAGGAAGTGTGTAATCTCTGCCTTAGCTGTACCTTCAGTAGGGACCAGGCAATGGTTGGTCATGGAAACTTATTTAATATTAAACTGTTTAAAAAAATGGTTTAACACTGAGTGGTGGGACAGTGCTAGGCAACTCCAGGCACTTTATCTTTTTACAGCACTGGGACTCATTTGGTGCTGCTAACTGCTCTGCTTCTCAAGAAATCATTGAGGAGGCGGTGGACCAATCCAATGCTTCTCATAGAGGGGCATTGGGGACATATGAGCATGCGCACTGAGTGCCCTGTGCACATCCAATTCATATCATAGGAAAGCTTTGAATACAATTCAATGCTTCAAGTGGAAGCTCCTCTAGTGTCTGTCTGGAAGGCAGCCACTAGAGGCGTGTTTAACCCTTCAAGGTATCAGGGGCAAATGGGGCAGCTGCCCCAGGCCCATTTACTCTTGGGGGGGGGGGGCGAAGCAGCTGCACTGTGGGCCCCGCTGGCCTCAACCATTTCTCCCTCTCCGGCTGATAACCGGGACACTAAGGAAGCCCACCGGGTGGTGCATGCACAAAGGGCCACCCGGTGGGCTTCTGTCAGCAGGGGCCCACCGCTCAAGGGTGAGGGCTGGGTGGGGGGGACAATAGGTCCCCCCCTTATTCTAATTTAGGACCCCCACCCACCGCTCAGGGGTGGGAGGACAATAGGTCCCCCCCACTTATTCTAATTTAGGGCCCCCACCCACTGCTCAGGGTTGGGGGCCGGGGGGAGGACAATAGATCCCCTCCCCCGGTGGGGGCCATGGGGGAGGACAATAGGTCCCCCCCTTATTTTACTTTAGGGCCCCCACCCGCCGCTCAGGGGTGCAATAGGGGGCAATAGGTCCGGCACGCGCGGCACGGGTGGGGGCTCGGGAGGGGGGACACTTTTTTTTTTTGGACAGTGAGCAGCCACAGGTTGCTCACTGTTTAATAGACATGCCCCTACTCACGGTATACCGAGTAGGGGCAGAATTTACTAATACTAAGTAATTTTTACCTAGTAGTAATTTTGGCTGAAAGACTTAATACCGTGGGAATTAGGGAGTTATCTACTAAGCAGCTTCAAGAGACCATCCGAAGTGATGAAGTGCCGAACCGAACCAAAGTTCCGAATGCAAAACCAAACCAAATATTTTCCCCATGCACATCCCTAGTCCTTTTAATGGACACTATGGAATGTCTATTGATATAGGATGTGCACAGTTTGTATCCTCAATATAACACAAATATATGGTGAGATGAAGGGGAAAGTTAATTTTATCACATGACAGGGTGCTTCCTATTTTGTAAAACTCTCTTTACTAAACTCCACAGCAGTAAAGAAAGTGAAACATTTAACCAATCAAAATGCAATAGGGAGTATGATATTCCCAGTAAATAGGCTCCTCCCCCTCTTTCTTTACTGCTCCATTGCAGACAGGTCAGAGTTTTGGCTCTTCCCTTTATTTATAGTTTTTATAATATATACTCATTGCTATGTCTATTTAATATACTTGTTACACTTATCACTTAATTTATCTTTCCTTTCTTTTATTACATACACTTCACGGTGTATACTTGCCTTATCTCTACGGTTTATATATACACTTGCTGTTTCTGCCAGTTTTTCTAGTCAGTTTGCCCTTACTATTACCTTTACTGTGTTT